GTAGGCTGTTTATGATCATTAGATCTATGTCAATAATATTATTTTCGTTGATTACATTTACTATAGTGTCAGTTTTATTGACAGTTAGAGCTGATATAGTAGTTTCAATTAGACTATAAAACTTCATAGTAACATAGTTGCTAGTAATTTTCATGACAGTTAGATCTATATAAGCTGATTATTGTTTCATTAAGACTATGAAGCATTTTGGTGGGGTGATTACAGTTTCTTTTTTATATACAGTATCTACTTGAGCTGACCATAACTTCAAGATTTATGTGTGAATGTGATTCAGAACAATAACATCTTATAATGGATCCTTTAAGAAATAATTATAATAAATTCATAAGTTTTTAACGGACACAGTGATATTATAGCTTTAACACAATAGCAAACTGCTGCAGCAGCTGATATATGAACTGAATATTTCAAACTTTGATTGAATAGGAATAACAAAAGAATTTTTATTTTACCACGAGAAATGAAAGTATAACTGTCTCTATTGCAACACATTAATGCTCTGAATTTTTATGTAGACAGCTATAGTCATACACAAGGTAGTGCAGACTGTGAAATGTTTCTGGTTATGAATCACCACTGATAAGGGGAGAAATACAATCTTCATTATAACATTAATGCATACTATTTTATAATGGCATTGCGGGCGTATGGAAGTTTTATAGCTTTATAAAATGTACTCCATTCCAATTAAAAAATTATTTGATGTTATTAAAAGTCATTAATTTTCAAGTTAGTTCATACATACATTTCCCATTTACAGTACAAATTTATTTAAACTGCTATAGATCCCTTATCAAGTGAATTTTATTCAAATGATTTATATTTCTTATACATTCATCTCACTTTAATAAGATTTTGCAATTATAAAACCAAAGCATATAGTACACTGAAATTGGGAAATACAATGAGATTAAATCAATAAACAAAAATGATGAATGAGTAACAATAGCTAATAGTAAAATTTTAAGAGACTACGACTGTGAATGATTGATGGAATGAATAAATAATAATAGTAGTTAGCTGAATAATGATAATAAAGATAAAAAATATAATAATTCTATAAGTCATGCAGAATGAATAATAATAATTAGAAAATAACAGTGATAAAGTAAAAAAACAAAGACTGGAATTCCCAGACAATGGTCCACTTTGCCATCTATGTTGAACTTGGGGGGTACAGCCATGATAGCACTTTAAAATAACTTGACTTGTCTCTTGACTGCATGAAAGCACACTGAGCTAATGTTGAGTGTGTTGACTGCTTAGTAGTTAGATCTAGTAGTAGTCTGTTTTCTCATTATCACAGGCAATGATTGCATGTTTACAAAAGTTGAAGAGAATAGCTCAAGAGGATATCAGCTTATCTGTAGATCTCAACTGTCATAAAACACAGGCTAATATTATCGACATAGTGATCATAAGCATCAGCTTACCTGCATGTACTGAAACTGCAAGGATGATAAAGTTCCTATCAAAGACTCAAATAGAGCTGATAAATTTATCTCCTGATGCATAGCTATCATTCTTGCAGAAAGATCCGTATAGTTTCCGTGTTGTTCCGTACTTCAATACAGATCCGCGAGCGTTCCGCGTTGATCCGCATTTCAGCCTGATCCGCGTGGATCCGTATTTCAGGCAGGCCCAATTATTTTGGTGTCTATTTAATTTAGCGATTTAAAGCTCTCTCGCTAATCATAGATACTATATATACCAAGTGGATATGAAACAGGATGTGCCTATGCTCTTTTCACCGGATGTGACGTTTTTCCTAGATACGCTTAGCAACCAAAATGGTGGCAAAATCAATAATAATTATAAAAAACTTCATAACAATCTATTTTCTTCTGAAAAGAGTCAGTACAAGAAACAACAGACAATTTAGCTTCATTGGTTTCATATTCATACCCTATTTGATGAACAAAAAATAATATTATAATAATAGTTTTATCATTCTAATATGGTATATCACAATGACATTAAGTAACTTTTTTTGAAGAAACATAGCTTTAAAATAATTATGAAAATATACAAACCGTACAAAAGGCATGTACGTAGACTCATACAAAATTATACCTCTTCAAATAGCATAGTTTTCCAGAAAAGGCGTTTACAAAACAGACCATAAATAAACTAAAAAATGGATATATTTCTATTTTATAAAACTGCAGCAGAAAGCTAGTAGTTACAGACCATGTAACACAATAATATCCTTCTTCTACCCAAATAACACTTACTAACTCTGCCCCAGATTGGAGAAAAGGTGTTTAAAGTCAGAACTATAGGCCGCCATGTTTTACAGCACAACGAGATCCAGTGATCAAGCAAACAAGGATTCAGCAGGTCATTCGAGCTAATAGAGACTTCATAATACTTACTTCAACTCAGCAAAGTAGTAACTTGGCCAAGAACCCAAAACTTTGAGAAACAAGGCCACTAGAGGCTACGCTAGAGCGAAAAGAGCATAGGCATACTGCTCGTGACGTCACCAATATAATTTCATGTACAATCCACTTCCTGTTTCGTATCCACTTGGTATATATAGTATCTATGCGCTAATATAGCTAAATTTAGTAGACGCTAAAAATAGTAGGCTTAAGGTACCTCATTATATCTGAAGTTTGCCGACTTTTTGATGACTTCACTATACAAAAACAGTCATAATAATCATCATCATAATAATAATAATAATAAAATTAATAATAACAAAAAATAAATATATTCTTACTAGGGTTGGCATCTACTGGATCTGGTTCCCAAGCCTCAAAGTCCTGATCAGGATCATCATACTCATCTGAAAGATCAAGCAACACAGTCTCACCTTTTGCCAGCTCCTATAGCACAAGTTACGTGACTATCACATGATCAAATACATGTACATGTACCTCCGAAAGATCGTTGCTACTATCATCAATCAAACTGGCCATGATACATGTCACTGTATCACTCTGAGTCCTGTGATTATTAATAATTATTAAAACTGGTCAGTTAATTTTAATAATACCTCAGATACGCTTTGACTGGTTCACATGCTCTTTCTAATACAACACCAGTTGGGTCCAGTAGCTTTAGACTACGAACTGAAGAGATGTACTGGGTAATAATATCAGATGTATTAGCACCATGGTGGAGTAACCTACTCTCATAACTGGTGGGGGAAATAAAATATTAGAATCATAAATTATAATAATTATTATTGCTATTATTAAAAATTCAAATAGATCAAATTATACTAAATAATAATATCACATTCGTAAAAATTATTCAATTTATTAGAAGAGAAAATGGATTTCTTACATGCAAATTTGAGTCCAACACTTTAGTTAATGAATCCATGAGCTCTTCTTTCAAATCAATGTGATGCAAACACTCACACAAATCAACCAGGCTGATTCTAAATCAGAGAAATCAACAATATTATCAAACAATTCACAAATCCTAAGCAATAAAAGCTGAAACATACATGTACATGTAATACCGCAATCGTCCATAGCAATTGTATATGTGATGTAATATCCTACCAGACCACTCCTTACTAATGTCACCTAATAATAATAATAATAATAATAATAATAATAATAATAATAATAATAATAATAATAATGTCAATTACCATATATGGCATTGAGCCAGCCGCTCAATAAATCCTGAAGTTTCTTTGGTGACCATGCCCAACAAACTCTCATTAAATATGTCGGAACAACAATCAGTCACATAATCTTTAACCTTAAAACCACACCCACATTAATAAGCAATATCAGACACGCCCACTTTATTCTCAATGGCAAGGATGGTAGAATGAGATAGGAACCTGTCCCTCAGGCCAAGGAACGATAATTTAGCTACCAAAGACTGAAACTCGTTCCAGTATCAAAGATGGTCAGTATGGGTCTCATTCTCCATTTCTTCTCCCTCTCTCTCCTCCTCCTCCCCTAATTGCTTCATAAGCTATTAATGATTCCTTTACTAGAGACTCCATGACTCTAAAAACCACGCCTCCTTTTGGTAGCCACGCCCATATTGATAGTCCCTACACTTTACACGTAACCGCCCACTTGTCAGTAATACTAGAAGAACAAATCGTTAATGATTGTGTTACTATGGTTACTGAGGTGACACACCCACTAATTATTTGGATTGGATAGAGTCTTTTCATTTCTTCTATTACATTATTGAAACTTATCGAGTTAGTTAGATGACAAATTGCCTGATACTTCTTGTAAACTCACATAATTTAACTAAAAATTTATAAAAAAAGTAAATTTAATATTTAAAAACTCCATTCCTTGCCTTATTAGCGTCAAAATGACTCCAAAATTAAGGCATCAGCTTATCTTGTAGTCATACTTTTTAATGTCCTGAATAAAAGTTATTCTAATTAGAAATAAGTATTAATAAAATTACCTTTCAAAAATTCTACATCAAGTGCCTCAATTTTGACACGTGGCAGTGGTTTTTAATAGTTTTACTGATCCGTAAAGTTTGCGGGGGTGTTAAAAGACATGGGTGGGGCTGCCTATTTTGAAAAAGAGAGGCGAGCCTAGCCTAGAGGAATAAACAGTGCAGGAGTTTTAAATCAGATTGAGTGAGTTGATTATTGTCTATATAGTGAGATTACTCATTTTCTCATAGGCAGCAATGGCAGAACACACCAGTCCAGAGTCTATCACTATGACTTGTGAGGTTTGTTCAGAGTATTACACTGACCCCCTCATGCTTCCCTGTCTTCACTCATTCTGTAAGAAGTGTCTAATAAAAGCTAAAGAGAAGCAAGGTAGTGCTGATACCTCATTAAAGTGTCTAACGTGTGACACTAGCGTTAATTTACCTGATGGTAAAATTGAAGGCCTCACTCAAAACCTTTGGTTTGAACATAAATCAAGAGAGGCTTCAATCAAAAAGAAGATTCTTAGTAAAGAAGCAATATCTTGCGATAAATGTGATGATTCCAGTGATGCAGCTGTCGTGTATTGCTCTGATTGTGGCCAGTTTCTGTGCGATTATTGTAAGAAAGGTCATAAGCGAAACAAGAAAGAAGCCAGTCACAAGTTGATTGGTCTAGAAACCAAGGAATCTATTGAACTGCCTGCTATTAATTACGAGGCAATTTATTATGCACAGCATCCAGAAAAGTTGACATACTACTGCAACGATTGCAATAAATTAGTTTGTCAGATTTGTCTCAACATTCACCATAAAAGTCACAATTACCGGGCAATTATTACCTCGATGAGGGTGATACAGCACGTGAAGCATTAAAGAAAAGTGTTGCTTTTTGTGGTGGAGTTATTCCTCCAGTCACTGAAGCTATAGCTAATGGAGAGAAGATGCTAGAGCAGATAGCAACACGCAAAGAAGAAGTAAGGCAGAAAATCAAGGAAACATTTTAAGAGCTTAAAGCTGCTTTAGATAAGAGATGTAATGATTTTACTAGTAAAAACAGAAGAGATTGCTAGTGCTAAGAGGAATTCTGTCAGGAAGCAGTTGGATGGGTTTCGTAAACTGGTAAAACAGGTATCTCATGGTCGTCATCTTGCATCATCAGTGAGTGAGCGTACTGATCCAGGTGAAGTTCTCAGTGTTAAGAAGCTAATCACCAATCAACTAGAGGAATGCATTGAAGAGTATAAGAAACTACCTCTAGAAATAGAAGAAAATGAAGTGATTGTAACATGTCTAGATAATACTTTAAGTAAAGAAATCGGTGAGTTTGGAAACGTATTTGAAGTTTGAGCAGCTTGACCCATCACTTTATTCCATTGATAGTGGGTTAGCTATTCCATTGGCATCAGTAAAGAAAGAAAGGAAATTTAAAGTGGCTCTACCAGCAGGCATTGATAAAGCAGCAAGCTATTTGAAGGCTTCCTTTATCAAAAAAGATGGTAGTAAAGAGGAGGGTAGAGTTATAGTTAATGATAGCAACACAGCCATTGTATCAAGTACACCTCAAAGTATTGGCCAATATGATCTAGCAGTGACAATAAGAGATCACCATATTAAAGGTAGTCCTTATCAACTGTCAGTAAAGGCATCAAGAGACTATACCAATACCACACTAAGCAGAGATCCTTTAATGTGGGGAATTTTGGTACTCGTGGTGTTGCTGTTCATACTAATGGTGAAGTATTTGCTAGTAGTAAGGACGAATTTGTTCAGGTATTTAGTGAGGATGGTACTGCAGTAAGAAAGATTGGATCTAAAGGTAAGTGTAAAGGACAGTTTGACAGGCCTTGGGGTGTATTGCTGGTAGGAGACAGGCTCTATGTGTCTGATGATAATCTTCATCGCGTGCAGTATTTCTCAGCTACTACTGGTCAATATATTGGTCAGTTTGGTAGTAAGGGTAATGGAAATGGACAATTCTATTATCCTACTGGTATGTCTACTGATGGCAATGGTAATATATTAGTAGCTGATTACTACAACAACAGGGTACAAGTATTTAAAGAAGATGGTACATTTCTACAAGTTATACAATGTGATGGAAGGGCAACTGATGTAGCAGTTGATAATGAAGGGAAAATACAAGTTACTATTCAAAATCAGAATACTTCCACTCATGTACAGACTGGAACTTGTCGATGTGATGTTCTTTGTGTCCTCTTTAAAGCAACCATCTCCTCACTTCAATATCCTAGACTATGTCTCCTTCTGTTCCTCCACGACTCGTTCCTCCTCAAAGTGGAAACTGATCCACAAGTCATCACCTTCCTCTTCTGTATGGCACTCATTCTCTTGGAGATTTCCCAGATTA